AAAAAAAAAAAAAAAGGACCTTCCCCACAGGGGCTGAACTGCACAACCCCAAGCTTTTATTGGTTTACAACATTTTCAGTTTTCAACTGATCACCTAAGAGGAACTGGCCTTTGAGATGTAGTATAAATGAATGGCAAAGACCTTTGAGATTTTCCACCCAAACTCTAGGCGGCAAGCAAACTGCAGAATCGGTTGTTTGTGTATTCAGGAAGTCGGCTGATATTCCTGAAGTACAGTCACCCCTTCCAGCAGCACCCTCCGGTGTCGGGCAAATGCATATGTCGCATGTTGCCAATTCCATAATATACTGCTGTTTCCTTCCTGAAAGACTCCCAGTCCTTGATGGAGCTGCAAGGGACTGAGTGTGCCATCAGCATAAAAATGAAATGCAAGGTTTTTAAGGCTCTGTCCCAGGGTCCTCTGAACGATTCAGATTCACCCGAGAGGCAGCTTTAAGGGAAGGAGAATAGTACTCTCTATTTGTAGTTCAAAATTCCCTAGGGGAAACTAAGTCCCCAAATTCAGCAGCAGATGTGGTCAGAATGATTGCAATCTCTTCCTTCATTTAGAATACAGTAACTGGTTTCTTTCTTTTTTTTTTTTTTCTAACGGGGAATTTCAAAAGCTTTTAGTGCAATCCTTTCTGTCTACAAATAAGGAAACTGAGATCTGGAGAAGCTACATAAAAATAAAAAATGCCAGATCAGTCATTTCTCCATTTGAATCCTGTTCTTCTGAGTGTTCAATCTGCCAGATTCATTTTTGTCTAACTTGGAGTGGGGGCATGAGGCCATGGCTGAAAGGGCACCTCCGAGAAGTTCAAAACGGCTCTTGGAGATGGGGTTGCCGTGTCTGGTTTAGGGAGACCTGAACATCTGAGAAGCAGAGAAGCTGAGCCTTGACGGTTTCCATGGTGACCACTGAGCCCAAGTGCATGCTTTAATGAGCCAGCTGGCTAGCCAGCAGCCCAGGAGCAAAGGTTATGGGACATTCCGGGAAAATCCACGTGCTCCTGAGCTCCTCAGATGAAATCTGAATGGATGGCTATCCCGCTAATAAGGGCTTCTTTTGGGAGACACACACACACACACAGCAGATCTGAACGCTGTGTGTCTGGCCCTGTTCTCTGCCAAGTTCTCTTGCATACATTATTTCATTTAATCATCACCAAAACCTTCTCAAGTGGATTCGAATTCTATCCTCCTCTTTCGCTGATGAGTAAACGGGGCAGGATCACTGTAAACCCAGGATCACTGAGCTCAGAAGAGGCAACTCTAAGCCAGCTCTCTTGCCCTAGTCCTCCACTCCACTTTAACAAACCTGAAAGTGCTCACCTGGGGAGCTCCCTTGCCTTCTAAAGTCACAATTTCTTGTCTCAGAGAGAAAAACCAGTGCAGCTTTAGAACTCACCACTGATCTATCTTTGCCCATCACTGTTAGAATCTGAAAAGGTGTTTAGACTGTCAGTTTTATTTTTTGCGTTGTTTTGTTTGTGAGAGAGAATGAGAGCACAACACGCGAGCAGGGGAGGGGCAGAGGGAGAGGGAAACACAGACTCTTAAGCAGGCTCCAGGCTGAGTGAGGAGGGCCATGCTGGGCTCCATCTCACAGCCGTGAGATCATGACCTCAGCCAAAATCAAGAGTCAGATGCTCAACCGACTGAGCCACCCAGATGCTTCTCACTCAGACTGTCATTTTTTAAATATTAGACATCATCAGAAACAACTCCCTGAAACAGGTTTGAAAGACTTGAGAATTAGGTCAATAATGAAAAAGAGCAGAAATGACATTGCATCTAAGCCAAACAAGTTATCTGTGAAATCATATGGAGAAGTGTGAGTTAAAGGGCACTGGGAACCCCAACCCAATCACATATCCTTCACATACCAATACATTTCTTAAGTTTTTGTCCCTTGTTTAAAGGTAAGTATTCTCAAGTGGAAAAAACCCACTAAGACAATAGCAATCATCAACATCTTAGTATAAATTAGTACATTAGTGTACTATTGCTGAGGAGCACTCAGAAGTGGGGGTGGGGCGTGGGGAGATAGGGTGAGACCATGAAGAGACAAATAACAAAGCACAACACAGTATCTAGACAAGGCAGGCTTCTGGAAGGGGTCTTAGAAGCTAGGATCAGCCTAAAGACACCACACTTGGACATAAAAAGGAGTAAGTAAGTTCTAATAACAAAATAAATGGATTTACTCCTCTACTTTATTGCAAACACACTTAGGACCCAATCTTCCATTTTTAAAACGGAACTAAGTGTTTCTCCCATCTTCAGAAAACCTGTTTTGGCAAATCTGTACTTAACCTTCTTGTATTGTGATTCTGGAAATACACTGTCAAGAAGGAAGCTGCTGAAGGGAAAGGAGTTTTAGGCACAGTACCTGTGACCACCGTTGGCCAAAAGAGAAAACACGGTCATAATATTATTCCTTCAAAAGTGACAATGATACGATAACATCCTGATAATTCCTTCTGGATCCTGTCAGGCTAAAAAGCCAATTGGATCGCAGAGGTCAGGGTGTGAATAGACACAGTACTCACTCGAAAGACCTTCTCCACTCTTGCAATGCTTTTCCCAAAGATGGTTCCCAGTTGGTCTCCAATTCCAGCCAATAAGAAACCAAAAAGCGGAATTCCAAAGATGGCATACAAAATACAAAAGATTTTGCCTCCTTCAGTGCTCGGAGCAATATTCCCATACCCTGGTGAGAAATATCAAAAAGAGAGAGGGAGAGTGGTGAGGTGGCAGAGAAATCAGAGGGCTGAACCAGAGAACCCACAGATAGACGGAAGGATTTCTGCACTTCCACGAGCAGTCGGGGAGTAGAGCTTCATTTCAAAGGCCCTCCGGCAATCAGAACGTTGTTCCATTGCTTCTCTCTCTTCTCTCCTTGGAAACAGTTTTTTTTTTTTAATTTTTTTTTTCAACGTTTATTTATTTTTGGGACAGAGAGAGACAGAGCATGAACGGGGGAGGGGCAGAGAGAGAGGGAGACACAGAATCGGAAACAGGCTCCAGGCTCCGAGCCATCAGCCCAGAGCCCGACGCGGGGCTCGAACCCACTGACCGCGAGATCGTGACCCGGCTGAAGTCGGACGCTTAACCGACTGCGCCACCCAGGCGCCCCTCTCCTTGGAAACAGTTTTAAGGAGATCCGGCTTTCCTGGATCTTCATGTGTTTAATTAGATTACACTTTAGGAAAATTGGTAGTCACCCAGAATTGCTCATGGAAATCGGTACCATCCCCCTCAGAAACACCAAACATCTTGGACATGCCTGGTTCAGGGAGACCTGAATATCCACGAAGGGCTCGCCATTGCCCTTTGTAGATTTGAAAGGAGCTTCTCCTTTATCGTCTCATCTCATGTGCCTCCCCTTCGCCCAACAGACTTGGCTACCCCCGATATTTGGCTCTATAGGGAAACGGATACTCCGCACTAAGGAGGATATGTGGCCTGGCACAAATTCGGAAAGGACCCATGGATCGTACAGTCCCACCCCGAGCCACCTGAAAACTGCAGAGCAGGGAAGGAAGACTGTGTGTGCGTCTTCTCACAATGAGTGATGTTTAGCTCTGCTTGGCTTTTGCTCCTTACTGGGAACTTTACATCGTCTCTGGATCCTGCCTCTCTTCCCGCCCGCTTCCTGCATCAAGGGCTATCAAGCACTAAATACATATCTACTGGTGGAATGGAGGTTTGAAAATAAAAGAATCTTTCTATAGTCATGGCTATAATGTATATTTCAAGTAGTGCTTGAAAATACCAGCATCTTCATTCTTAAGAATTCTGCAATTACGTAAGTAACTTCTGTATAGTGAGCACTGGGTTTCCACTAGATGGATGAGACTAATGGAAGTAGGGCTGGAAAAAAAAGCAGGGGTGGGGGAGGGGCTATGGTATTACTGTGACTTATAAAGAGATGAGAATCTAAATTACTTGCTATTCAGTTTCATGCCAATGAGTATTGCAATGTTATGCTAACTAGCGCCCAGATAGTCATCCAACTATTCTCCCATAACAGGGTAACTCATGTGGGGCCTGTTTCTAGATCCATGCGATGGGTGAGTTACTGGGCTCATGGTTATGGTTATGTTAGGGGTGCAGCGCAGTCAAGGATAATGTTGATGCGGTCCCATCCTCCACCTCCTATGAGCCTAGAGACCTCGCTGCTGCTGTCTGCCTTCGGGTGATGAGTCACCTGGCTATTTTTCTTTCCAATTTTCTTGTCAGAATTATTCAAACCTCTTATCATGAATTATCTCAGTTACAGTTTCCATTTCTTAAATGAGCGTTCAGGCAAGCCTTCCTCATCTTGCATTTCTTTTACTCACCACCACTGCCATTTAATTGTGCAAAAAAAAAAAAAAAAAAAAAAAAAAAAAAAGGCTCCTGGAACTTTTTTCAGGTGCTTTCAGGAACTTGGACAAAACCATTTTTCTAAGACTTCCCCTCTAGAATAATCTGATTTACATTGAAAGGGGAATAAATGTGCCTACCCAGCTTCACTTTATAGAGGTGGATATTGACCTGTGAAAACATTTATGACTCTTGCCTGACTGTCTCAGTATTGTCAGAGATTACTGTCAGAGAACGTAGGTTTTCCTTAGTCTGAGTATCTCAGAAGGAAACATACAGCAGACATAATTGAGGCTTTGAGCCTGCTGAATAATGGGCGTCTTATTAGCCCCGACAAGAGGTACACACTCTTGCCCCAGCTTTCTGTGAGATCTGCCCCACCATCTGGGTAAGGACTGTGTTCAGGGAATTTCTGGTGGCATCCAAGAAGCATGACAAAGAAGCGAGAAGACAGAGGCTCCAGATTCAACTCGACCTCATTCCACTTGGTTGTCCTCGGATGCATTTAACCTCTACAAATCCCAGGATGAGAGGAGTTCAAGGGAAATGGGCACAAATCAGTGAACTGTAAGGTACTATACCAGTGCAAAGTAGTATTATCACTAGTAGCATTACTGAAATTGGCTCCTTACTTTTTCAGTGTTTCATAGACTAGAACACCAAAACGAAGTTAAAGTTCTCGGGTAAGGACACAAGTAGAGTAATATTCACTAATATTCAAATAAGTCTTTAAATATATTTAAGGCCATCACTTCATACTGGGCATAAGGTAATTGCCATTTTTGAGTAATGCTGTGTTTATGCATGTGTGCGTGTGTGTGTGTGTGTGTGTGTGTGTGTGTGTGTGTGTGCACACATGTGTGCACGTGTCCCCTGGCTCTGATGGTCTATATGGAAAAGCTGTTCCAGTGGAACCCTCAATCCTGTCACTCTGGGAAAATTCTAGATGAATCACATTTTGGATGTTTGCTCTGAGGCAATGGGAGGGCCACATTCCTGGATTTTTGGCTCTGCTTTACCGGGCCTGTTGGACTTCCCTGCCCATCCTTCCAAAATCCTTGGCAGAACTTTGAAGTTCAGAGTGATGGTTATGGACGCTCATGGCTAGAGACCGCAAAGCTTCCTGTTCTGACACTTCCACTTACTGACTCTCAGATCTTGGGTATTTACCTAACTTTTCTGCCTCACTTTCCTCCTCTGAGACCGGGCTGTTAACAGCACCTGCCTTGTAGCTATTAAAGATAAAATGGGTTACATGCAAAGTATGAGTTGCCTGTAGAGATTAAATACATGTAAATCATGACACAAAGTAAGCACTCAGTAAGTAGTAGCAATTATCATCTTGCCCGGGGTTTTCTGTAGGAAGGAATCGCTTCTGAGCAATACGTCTCCAGGAAGATGAAGCCCCAGGAGAAAACAGATGGCTGGCTCCTCTCTTCCCTCCAGAAACTCTGCTGTTCTCCCACAGTGCCAGGACAAGGGGACAGAATGTCTGTACTGCCAGTGGGGCTGGCGCAGGGAGTTGGGTGGGCCCACAGCTGCATCTGGGGTGTGGGAATCTCTTGGTGCAGCTAGGGCCAGCAACATCTGGGAAACGAGATGGGGTGACGTGGCAGCGAGAGAGGCAGTTGGTCAGGGAGCACACAGGAATTTGGACTAAGCAAAAGAAGTCCAAAGAGCTACTCCACCAACCGACTTCCGGTGACTTCTGGCAGGAGATGACCTGCCCGGCAAGGCCCATCTGTTACAAATGAGAAGGACCAAGGCAGGGCTTCACTGTGTTCACCTCTGGCTAGAAACCAGTTCCAGGCCCTTTTTGAAGAGAAAGCTCATGTTTAAAGAAGACTGCCTGAGTAGCTCACACATAACACCTGCATTTGCTATTTAAGCCGAATCTTTGCACAACCGTGTGCCATTCAGCCTGTTATCTGGTTAAAAAGTGTGCATTGTAGGCCCAGACTGTCTTATGTGTGCAGAACTGGCTTTCTGGGAGTGCAATCTGTGCACCCACACTAAGAAGGGCCCCATGCTTGGTCTATTGATCTGCTGGTGCCATTTTGATGTTCTTAATCATTTTTTAGCAAGGGACCACACTTTCATTCTGCTCTGGGCCCTGGTGAATGAAGCTGGGCTCCACTGCTTACTAGTCGTGAGATATTGGCCAAGTTACTTAACATCTCAGAGCCTCGGTAAACTGAGGCTAATAACAGTACCTACTGGCTATGCTTAATGTGAGACTAAGTGAGATAACTTTGTGGAGCACAGTGCCTGGCACCTAGTAAGCACTCACTAAATGTCGGCCTCAGTGACTATTTCCAAAGCCACAGATTAGCATCCCGTTCAGGTGCTGCTTTAAGTAGAACTATCTGCTCAGGTACTTTGGCGCAGGTACTCTTAACTGAGGTCATCAGGCAAGTGACAGTTACTAGCTGCTATCTGGGACCTGTCCAGGGGCTCTCTCTGATATGAGTGGAGTCAGGTGACTCAACCCAAAAACGCCTCGAAGACTAGCATTGCATAGCTGTTGACAAGAATGTTGTCATTTGCTGCCCTGCTACAAATAATGGTTTGTGGGAAAGCATCTGAACAAAGAAGTGAGCAGCATTCCTCCCACTTAGAAACCCTAGTTGGTGGGAACCCACCATCAGAGCCAACATCCAAGGGCAGTTGGAGCTTCCCCACATCAGAATTAGTTACTGACAAAGGGGACAGGGGACAGGGCACCCTCAGCAAAGACTGAGCAGAGTCTGGTCTTCCTCTGACGTGGCTCCTATTTTGGACAAGTGCCTGAATATATTCCCTTTTGCTACACACTTGTAAGTCTGCCTGTGTATCTGAACATAAGAAAACCTTGTTTAAAAAGAAGTACTTTGATACCTTCAGCTAAAAGGGACCCCTGATGCTTAGTAGTATCACTGCTTTTCAGAAAAGACTGTTATTCCTAAGAACTCTCTACACACATTCTAAATAATGAACACATTTTTCTTGCGTCTGACGAGTACATAACCTCATGTGGCTCATGAGAGTCTTTCTGGAAAGCAATTTGGCAAGCCTTTAAAAAGTCCATGCGCTTCACCACCACAACCCCTCGGGGGATCCTCCCCAGGAGACAACCAGAGGTAAAGACCACACTCAACACACGAAGACTTCACACCACAGTGGGACACAATCACAAAATGGAAACGGCTTAAGCTTCCAACATGTGATTATGGTATGGATGGTGTATCCAGTGGAATCCAATAGAGATCATGTTTTTCAAAGAACCTCAGCGATTTGGGGAAATGTCTACAATATTACATCACAAATTATAGGAACTCAAGTAAATAGGCAAATGTTTGGATA